CACAGATTCTAAAATCAGAGGGTATTCAGAAGCCTCTCCATAAATTTTCAGAGTGTAGTGGGAAACAGGAACTGTTAAAAATTTGCAAGTCTACCAAAGTACCTTCTGCCTCTTCCAGTAAAAAAAAATTATATATATACTAGAGGCCCATTGCACGGAGATTCGTGCAATAGGCCTTCCTTCCCCTGGCTGCCGGCACCGGTTTTCCTCTGGCACCTGGGACCCAGGCCTTTGCTCTGGCCGCAGCGGAGAAGCCAAGCCTCTTCAGTCTTCAGTTGTCTTCAGTCTTCAGTCTTCACTCGGGCCGGAGCCTTCAGTCTTTGCTCTGAGCCTGCATATGCAAATTAACCGCCATATTTTGGGCTAATTTGCATACTCATCCTGATTGGCTGGTGGGTGTAGCAGAGTGACACCAATTTGCATGTTTCTCTTTTATTAGTGTAGATATGAAGCTCATTATTTTAAAAAACATACAAAGTAATCAGGGTTAGAAATTCATGGCTAGCACTTGGGTTACATCAGGAGAAAAGATATTTACTTTTCATTGGAAAACCATAGAATGGTTCTCTGACTTCTCTTAAAATTGTATTAGAATTGTTTCAAGAGGGGTGGGGAGGAAAGGGCATTTACTTTATTATTTTATGTCTGAGCAGATATTCCATGAAATATCAAATGTCTTACTTATTCCTTTGGGTACATGAATGTATAGATTCCCTGATATACTACACAAGCTAGGGGAAAAAAAGAACAATTACTGGCAGAATTTTCTAAAGTAAAAGCAGAAGCTGAAGTTAAGCAATCACATAAACTTTGAGTAATTCTATCACAATGCACCATTAGATTTACATAGGAAAAATGTTGCTCTGCTTTCAGCTGACAAAAGAGCAGTTGAGAAGCGATCATGTAGCTCTGAAAAGTAGAAACTCTAAGGAAGGGTCAGCATTCTAAAGGCAGGGAGGCAGTTGACCTGCTGTTTTCACATTTGGGTAAAGATGAGGGGGACTAAGATTATAACCCAAAGAAGTCATGACAAAAGAGTAGAATGAAGTGTCAATAATGACACAGCAAGCTTGGACAGAAAGAGCAGGAAAGAGAGAAAAGTAATTTTGTTCAGATAGGAAATAATTTGTAGAGAAATTTTAGTAAATAACAATTTGTATTTCAATTTGCAATAGCCAACGGATGACGATATTTGAAGACTGACAGTCCTATTGCTTTATAAATATATATACACTAGAGGCCTGGTACACAAAAATTTGTGCACTGGGGGGGGGGGCCCCCTCAGCCTGGCCTGTGCCCTCTCGCAGTCTGAGACCACTCGGGGAATGACCACCTGCTGGCTTAGGCCCACTCCCCGGGGGATTGGGCCTAAGCTGGCAATCAGACATCCCTCTGGCAGCCCAGCAGCCCTCGGGGGATGTCCACTTGCCAGCGGGGAGCAGACCTAAGCTGCAGTCGGACATCCTTAGCGAGGCTGAGGAGGCAGGAGAGGCTACCACCACCACCGCTGTACTGGCAGCCCTCAGCCTGGCTTGTGGCTGAGCAGAGATGCCCCTGTGGGAGCACACTGACCACCAGAGGGCAGCTCCTGCATTGAGCATCTGCCCCCTGGTGGTCAGTGTGTGTCATAGTGACCAGTCATTCCCAGTCTTTCTGCTGTTAGGGTCAGTTTGCATATTACCCTTTTACTATATAGAATAGAGGCCTGGTGCACAGGTGGGGGCTGGCTGCTTTGCCCTGAAGGGTGTCCCGGATCAGGGTGGGGGTCCCGCTTGGGTGCCTGGCCAGCCTGGGTGAGGGGCTGATGGCTGTTTGCAGCTGGTCACACCCCCTTTAGGGTGGGGCTCCCCACTGGGGGTGAGGGGCTGAGGGCCGTTTTCAGGCTGGCAGGTGCCTGAAGCTCCCAGCCTCTCCTTTCTTTCTTTCTTTTTTTTTTTTTTAATTCTGGGATTTATTTACCTTCTATAATTGAAACTTTGTTGCCGTCTTGCACGCTCCAGCTCTGAGGCCGCGGCTGGCTGAAAGCAGGTATCTGGGGTTTGTTTAGCTTCTATAATTGAAACTTTGTTGCTTTTGGAGCTGTTGCTTTCGGAGCTTAGAGCCGGGCCGCCGCAGGCAGGGAACCTTGGCTTCCTCCATCACTGGAGCAAGCAAGCCTCCTGCTCGCTTCAGCTGCGTGGCTGCCGGCCGCCATCTTTGTTGGCAGTTAATTTGCATATCTCGCTGATTAGCCAATGGGAAGCGTAGCGGAGGTATGGTTAATTACCCTTTTTGTCTTTTATTAGATAGGATTGAGTGGCCAGATTATTATGACCACCCCATCAGTACTTCATTGGGCCACCTTTTGCCTTCAGTACTGCGGTGATTCTTCTTGGCATTGACTCCACGAGATGTTGAAAGGTGATGCGAGGAATCTGACACCATGCCTGATGAATAGCACTGTCCAGTTCTGTGAGATTTGATGGCTGATGGCTCTTTTAACTTCGTCCCACAAATGCTCAATTGGAATGAGATCTGGTGATTGTGGGGGCCACCTAAGCAAGGTAAAGTCTCCCTTATGTTCTTGAAACCACTCCTGCACAATATGAGCACCATGGCATGGCGCATTGTCTTCTTGGAAAAAGCCATCTCCATTGGGATACAGTTCCTCCAGGGCTATAAATATATTTTTAATGATTTCAGAGAGAAGGGAGAGGGAGAGAGATAGAAACATCAATGATGAGAGAGAATCATTGATCAGCTGCCTCCTGCATGCCCTTTACTAAGGATCAAGCCCACAATCCGGGCATGTGCCACAGCTGGGAATCCTGGTTCAACAGGTCAACACCCAACCACTGAGCAACGCTGGCCAGGCAGTTTTAATATTTTATACATATGTAAGAAACTCCATTTATTTGAAAGATAAATTAGTACAAGTTTCTATTAATATGATAGTTGTCAGTCAGGGGTTTGTTTTTTATTAACCTGTTATAACCCTAAAAATACTTTTAATATTTCAAATTATAAGCAATTAAAATATTAAATTGCTTGATTTTTATAATGTGAGGATAACCAGGAAGCCTGATTTAGTTACAAATTGGTCCTATTTTGTCTGGTGTCCTTTAATGACAGGCTCCTAAATTGACCAAGAAAATGTAAATACAGAAAGCTGTAGAACCAACATTCCTTAATTAGGAATTATGCTAGTAGGTTAACATTAAAAACATTTTTAAAAAAGCTACACATAGTATAAATTCTGCAGAGTTTTAACTTCTTTTATTTAAACTGCATTGATATCCATTTATAGCTCTCCTAACAACCCTTTATAGGTTGGTAATCCTATGTCCTGGATTTTCCAGGTCACTTCAGATTTCAAATATTTTGTCTATTGTCAAATGATGTGCCTGGGTTTTGGTTTGGAAAATGTGGTCACTGAATGTATAGACTAACTCTGAAATAGCAATGGCCTTTGGTATTATCTAGTAATTCTATTTCTGGGTCATGACTATCACATTAAATCAAATAAAAGTTCATTATTTAAGTCTACCTAATAAACTATCAAAATAAGGACATTTGATAACTTGCAGTAATTTGCTATTTGAAAAGAATTCATAATATGATTTATTATGCACATACACAGCTAGTAAACTTAAAAATGGCTATTCCCCTTGCCATATAGGAAATGAAAAACCACATATTTAAGAGGTTTTGTTATCACATGGCCCAAACATAATTGAAATGTGCGTGTGTTAATTTTTTTTAAAGGGGGGTTTGGTGGTCTTTCTTATTTTTAATTTCCATAGACTGGAAATCATATTCTTGGTAAACCAGAGTTGAGAGGGTATACTGGCATTTGCTATGTCTATGACGGTAATCATCTAAGATTGACTCATTATCCTGTGCCAAAACTTTGCTCTTCTGCAAATAAAAACACTTAGATTATTTGATGGCCTTCTTCCCTATTAATTACTAACCTTTATTGCATTATAACATTTGTTTATGGCTCTGCTCTTTATTCATTCGTGATTCAGATAACCACTAAGCGGGAAAAAAATTGTTTTTAAGTCTCCTATGTCCAGAATAGCATTAACTCTTGAAAATTAAGGTGATTTTTTTCTAAGTATTGTTAGAAATAATCTATCACTAGTGATCAGGTTTTTCTCCCACATATCCGTGCTAGTTGGGAACAAGAGAAGCCCGGGGATGCAGCGGCAATAGAGGTGCGAGTGGGAGACAAGATAGCACCCGCTTGACACTTCGGCACTGTTGCCATGAATGAGTCACTCGCTTTTGGCACCTGTGTGCCAAAGGAAATCTCTGCCTCTTCCCCCTCCAAGCTCCTCTCGGGCTGTCTCCTGTGCTTTGGCCTTTAAGGAAAAGCGAGAACAGGTGGGCACAGAGGAGCTGGTGGAATCCTCCTCCCCTGCTTCTTCCCTAATTTAGCAGTACTTCCGGCCGCGTGACATCATCCCCCGCACACCGGTGACGTAAGCGGCGGGTGACGTGTGTGCGGAGAAGAGCGCGCTGACGTTGCTATTTAAAGGTCCTCCTGCGGGGAGGATGGAGACAGGGCGCGAGCACCCGGTGTGGGGTGCAGAGAAGGGGGGCTGTGGCAGCCGGGAGCGGGGCCAGGAGCCAGCGCTGGGAGCAGGGGGAACGGCCCGCCAGCCGCCGGGCCGCTAGGGGAGGGGGGAAAGAAAGAACGGACGGACTTGAGGGACTCGCTGACCGGACTAGCTCCC